GCGGGGCTGGGTGTGGGGGGGCTGTGACTCACTGCTGAGCTGCCTGTAGAGAAGCCGGTGGGACGACCGTTAACCATTTCACTGCTGGTCGGAGGATACGGGACAGGGGCTGGCAGATCCTCTTGCCCACGCTATGTGGGGCAGAGCTCCGTGGCATCACCGGCGGGTGGGGGGACACGGCTGCATCCTGGCCGAGCGGAGGGTGAGCCCAGCATCCCTGCCCCTACCCGCCCTGTGCTCCCGAAGGGCCTGTCCCGGCCGCGGGCGTGGGGCACCTACCAGACCGCGCTGGCGATGCCCAGAACCACGGCCAGGATGACGAACGCGAAGATACCGAGCGAGATCAGGATGGCCACCTTCTCCATGGGGTCGCTGCGATCTGCGGGGACGGACAGACGGACGTCACTGCCAGCGGCTGCCAGGGCACCCCCCAGCTCCACCACACCACGCGGCGAGGACTAGGCAGGCGGGTGAGCGCCATCCTCTCCTGCCCCTGCCGCATTCAGCACAGGACCAGGAGCAGCCCCGGGCCTGGCCTTTGGCAAAGAGGCAGGTGCCCCACTCCCGGGGACAGCGGCCGGGCGGCTCATCCGTGCCATGCTGACTGGCATTCATTCTGCCAAGCCCGGCTGCCCCATTGCGAACCTTGGCCCCCCACAGCTCCCCCTGCCCTGGGCAGCTCCGCACCCCTCAGACCCCTGGTGCTCCTGCCCCCGCCCAGCCTCTCCCCACCCAGGCTCCGGCACTCCGCCTACCTTAACTCCCCCAAGGCCCACCTGGCTGCCAGGCTGCCCCCCGCCATGTCCTCTGTGGGGCGCGGGGCAGGGAGGGGACAGAGGCCAGGGGCTGGTGGGCCCAGCGGGGGTGAGGTGGGTGCAGCCGGTGGGGAGCTGGGTCCCCACAGCGTGGAGATGGGCTCGCCCCATGGCACCCAGAGAAGGGGGCCAGTTTGTAGGCTGGCTCCGGGGCTGCCCTTGGTGTCCCCGGGCATCTCAATCTATGCGGGGCTGGTGTGGGCACGGTGCCCTGCCAGGCACAGGGGGGCCTTGCTCCCACCTGCCAGGGTGCCAGGCGCTGCCCGCTGCACTGGCTGGGCCGGGATCTCGCAGCCGCCCGCCTCCACCACGGGCCCCAGTCGCCTTCCCTGGCTCCCCTGCCAGCGCCGCAAAGGGGCCACTTACCCACGGGCTCAGGGTTGGGGGCCAGCGAGGGCTCCTCAGCCGGACTCTCCAGGCTGGCGTCAGTGATGGCTTCATCGCCTGGTGTCACGGTCAGGCCTGCAATTGAGGGCAGGAGAGAAGCCGGTTACGTGGGGCAGGGGCCACCTCCAGTGCCACAGGGAGAGCGGGGCAGGGGCCGCGCCAGGCTGGGGGGAGAACAGGGCGGGGGCTGCAAGACCTTCACAGTGAGAAGTGCTGGCCCCTGGCAGAGTCCCCAGAGGTGCTTTCCTGCCCCATCCCCGCAGCCCTAGCCCTGCCACGCCTCCTCACCTGGTCCTGGGTGCCACGGGCGCCCCCCCTCACCTGGCCTGGCCGCCCCCCCTCACCTGGCCCGACCGCCCCCCCTCACCTGGCCCTGGGCGCCCCAGGTGCCCCTCCTCTCCTGGCTCTCGCCTGTCTACCCCTCCTCACCTGGCCCTGGCCCAGCTGCCCCTCCTCACCTGGCCCGGGTGTGGCCCGCACCTCGGCACTCCACTCGCTCCAGTTGCCGGCGTCCAGGAAGTCCTTGGCACCGACCTGCACCACGTGTTCCAGACCGGAGAAGGCGTCGGTGATGACTTCAGAGAGGTTCACGGTCTCCACCTGGGCGGGAAGCGGGCAGAGGCTGGGACATGAGGCCAGCCAGCCACGGGCTCCCCCGCTCGCCCCCTCCCAAATCCCCTCGGCACTCACCATGGACCAGGAGCCATGCGCGACGGGCCGGTACTGGAGCCGGAACTTCAGCTGGAAGTGGGGTTCCTTGGGCCAGGAGGCCGGGTACTGCCAGCGAACCCGCAGCCGCCGCGGGGCCAACGGGACCGGCTCCACCACCAGGCCTTCCGGAGGGTCCGGCTTAACTGGACGGGGACAGACATGGCTGTGACGTTATGAGTGTGATCTCATATCTCATTGCAAGGGGACAGGGCCAGAAAGAGTTAATTACCTCCCAGACTGACCTGACCCATGGCCGAACTTTAGAGATGGTTAGGATGATCTGTAAATTAACAGAGCTTTGAAATGCAGCCGGCATTGTTAGAGAGAGAAGGGGAGATGTTTGCTCAGGTCTTGTGATGTCAGCAAACAAGTCTTGTCTATTGCTATAGCTTTGATTCAAAGATCAAAAAAGGAATATTAACATTTAGGAAAAATGCTCCAATACGTCTGTTAATCTTTAAGATGCCACAGGACTCTCTGTTGCTTTTTATAGATCCAGACCAACACGGCTACCCCTCTGATACTTAATATTTAGGAAGATACTAGAGGGAAATAGTATTATTGTCTCTATGTCTCTTTGAAGGTTGTGGTAACCTGTATCTGAACTGTTTAATGGATAAATTACCCTGTGCTAATTGCCAGGATGTTTGAAAGAAGAAGAGTTAGGCCTATTGTTCTCTCAGGCCGAAAGGCTGCTGGCAATGTATAAGAACCCTGGGACACGATCCTGCTTCATCTCAGATCTGCTTTGGGTTTCAAGAGGGGGAAACCCTGAGCCATAAGGATTGAGATCCCCAGTCACTGACTGGAGTCACCCTGAATATGGACATTGGACTATAACCTCTGGACTATTTCTAAAAGGACTTTTGGCAACTACAAACTCATCTCTACGTACCTGAACCTCAAGAATGGAATTCAAGTCTGTCTGTATATTGATCTTTGAACCAACTCTCTCTCTCTTTTCTTTTCAAATACATTTTAGTTTAGTTAACAAGAATTGGCTGTAGTGTGTATTTTGGGTAAGATCTAAGTTATAATTGGACCTGGGTGTGTGGCTGATCCTTTGGGTTGGAAGAACCTTTTCTTTTATATGATGAGAGAAGATTTTCAGTAATCATCATATCTGACAGGTGTGTCTGGACGGAGGCCTGAGGTTGGGCACTTTAAGGGAACTGCGTGGTTTGGACTCTGAGTAACCAGTGAGGTAATACAGAGGCTGTTTTGGGCGGGTTGGTAAATCTAAGTATTGGAATATCCACCAGCGTTTGGGGTTTGTCTGCCCCGTTCTGTTTGCAGTTCACCCTCATTGAGTGACCTCAGCTGGCTGCCCCGGGCTCCCTCTGGGCAGCACCGTGAGCCCACACCACTGGGCCGCCTGCCCCCCAAGGGCTCCCCTGGGGGCTCTACCCGGGGGGGAGGGGAGGACCCCAGCGCCCTCAGCCCAGTCCACCACACCCCCACGCTTGGCTCAAATCGGCCCCTTGCTGGCAGCCACAGCCGGGCCCCGCTCAGTGCCCAGGGGTGGGGGCGGCACTCACTGATGGCCTGCATGGTGACGTCGAGCAGCCGGAAGCTGGAGCCCAGCGGATTCACCTCGGTGACGTTGAGCCGGTAGGAGCTCCAGAACTCACACTTGGGCACGGTGCAGGTGCGCGGGCGCCCGGAGTCCTGCACGCACGGCCCCACCTGGCTGCTCTGGGTCCTGCTGGTGAGAGCACAGGGCAGTCGGTGCCGGCGGCCGAGCCAGAGCTGGCAAACACAGCCAGGTCGGGGCGCCCAGGCTGGGACAGAGTCTGCACTGCAAACCAGGAAAGCGGGGGGTGTCTGTGTCCCAATTGCCCCCCAAAGAGCGGGCACAGGGGACCCCCTTGTACCAAAGCACTGGGTCAGCCAGTCTAGATGGGCATGCGCCAGGTAACCCCCTGCCCCGGCATGCCCTGCCACACACACAGACTTTTGCTTACCATGTAATGCCCATGCCCCTCGTGCGAAGCCACGCAGCCACCCGGGTGCATGCACGCCCGTGCATGGCACACTCACAGGCAGGTACGTGCAAATCCTGCGTCAGGCCCCGCATGCATACAGCCCATGCACTGACAGCCACAGCCTAGGCACGGTCTAGGGCCCGAATACGTGAGCCCTGCAGAGCAGCTGGCCTGGGAGCTGCAGCGGGTGAACAGCAGCAAAGGGAAGGCAGGGCACAGGGGCCATGGGATGGGGCACCCTGGGGATGGGGCAGGGGCAGCGGTTCCAGCCAGGCCCCTTTTCGTCCGGTGGCAGGAAGGTGGGGGCGAGGACCGGGCAGAGCCGGGTGGTGATTCCCCACGGCGCAGAGCCGCAGCTGTTCTCATGCGCTGGCACGACAGGAAACAGGCTGGGATGTTTATCGGGCTGGAACCTCCCGCGGGGGCTGCAGGCTGACGCGTGGGGGCCGGATCGGGGGCACTGGGCCGTGGGCAGCAGGCAGATGGGCTCTGGCTGTCAGGCAGGGACCCAGCTTCGCAGGCTGGACACGGCGGGCCGGGGGTGAGCGGCTGGGGCTGCACGGACTCCGTGCCGGGGAGAGGCTGTGTGACGTTACTGACATAACCTGTGACCATATAGATCATTGTTGCAACCACTGTTCTATATTTGCAGCTCGTCTTGTACAAAGGGTGTCATGTGAGGTGTCTATGGAAAGGGTATGGTTTGCTGGTTAGGATTATGCTAGCTGTATGGGTGTATCATTTTTGTATTCGAAATTATGAATCTTGGCTGCATACTCATTTGATTCTAAGTAGGCTGTAGTGAAGCAGTTGGTCAGCTTCCCGGAGAAAGGAATTCACAAAGTTAAGTGCCCAATCAAGAAGCACTTAAGGAACAATGGATCTTGGAAGGCTCCAATCCACGTAAGAAGTCTACATGGAGACATTCAAGATAGCGTGTGGGCAGTGGCTGCTGCCTGTAAAAACGGAGTTATGCAGGGACACGTGACTTGCCCAGGTGACTCCACAACTCCATCTTGGATCTGGACTTTGCATAGGAGAGAGGAGAGGTCTCCACTAGGGTGACCAGATGTCCCGATTTTATAGGGACAGTCCCGATTTTTGGGTCTTTTTCTTATATAGGATCCTATTACCCCCCACCCCCGTCCCGATTTTTCACTCTTGCTGTCTGGTCACCCTAGTCTCCACCCACAAGAGAAAGTCTATTTAAGCCCGTGGGAGATCCCTCCATTTTGTCTTCAGCTGGCTTAAGAGATCGCCTCACCACCCCCAAGGATACCTGAGAGAAACTGGAACCAAGGGCAGTAAGTACAGGGGGTGTGAGTGATTGCTGGACCCAGACTAGAAGGAGACTAGTCTGTAAAAGGAAGTTTACTGGAACTGGTAAGATTTTATCTGTACTCAGTTGGATTAGGCATAGATTTGTATGTTTTATTTTATTTTATTTTATTTTACTTGGTAATTCACTTTGTTCCGTCTGGTACTAATTGGAACCACTTAAATCCTACTTTCTGTAGTTAATTAATAAGTAAAAAGTGATTTTATTAACTCAGAGTCTGTATTAATACCTGGGGGGGGGGCAAACACCTGTGCATATCTCTCTATCAGCGTTATAGAGGGCGAACAATTTCTGAGTTTACCCTGTAAAACGGATTGATTTGGGGTTTGGACCCCATTGGGAGTTGGGCATCTGAGTGTTAAAGGCAGGAACACTTCTTAAGCTGCTTTCAGTGAAGTCTGCAGCTTTGGGGCAAGTAATTCAGACCTGGGTCTGGGTTAGCAGCAGGCTAGCGGGTCTGGCTCAAACCAGGCAGGGCACTGAAGTCCCAAGCTGGTAGGGAAAGCAGGGGCAGAAGTAGTCTTGGCACATCAGGTGGCAGCTGCCAGGGGGTTTCTGTGATCCAGCCCGTCACAGGGGCTGGCCAGGCTGCCGTGGGTCCAGCACTGGGGGCGGGTCTCTGAGTCCCTGGCAGGGGCTGGGACGGGGGGAGGAGGAAACTGACCCAGGTAGGTGCTGCTCTGACAGCTCCGGAGACTGCAGCCCCTTCTCCCCCCTGCGTGGGCAGTGCCAGGCAGGTTCCCCCGCCCAGCCATGTGTCTCGCCTGCCCTGGGGGACGGGGGTTCCGGCCCGGCCCCACTGCGGACGAGCCGGCTAATTCTGCTTATGCCCTGCCAGGCTGGTCACTGGGCAGCACAGACACGGTGGGCGCTATGGCGTGGATTCAGAGTGCCCCAGCAAGCGCAGCAGTGCTCGGGCACAGTGCCAGCCATCCCAGGGCCAGGGCACCCTCAGGAGCTGGGGGCAGGCAGGCAGGGTCCGGGACTGGGCTCTAGGGGGGTCGGGGAGGGGCCGGGTCCTACCTCCATTTCTCGTCGCCCATCAGCAATTTCTTCCTGTTCGTGGAGAGAAACGGGAAGGCAGCCAATGAGTCTCGGGGCCCAGGAAGGGGCTTTGGAAACGTGCCAGCAAACCCAGCCGGGGGGCCAGGGCCAGGGGCAGAGGAAGGGAGGGGGAGGGCACCGCTGGATACACAGCACCCAGCTGGCATTGGGGGCTCCGGCTGGCACTGGTCCTGGCGCCCAGGCGTGTTTCCGAATCCGGCAGGGGTCGCGGGCAGGGGCTGGAGGAACCGCACGCCCAGCAGAACCCCCCGGGCACTGCAAGGAGGCCGGATGGAGTCAGCAGGGGGCGCTCTCCCCTCGGAGCCAGCGTGGCGCTAGGAGGCACTGTGACACTGGCCGCATCCCTCGCACACCAGGGTCACTAGTGCTCCGCGGCTGGGAGCTTGGCACCAATATTGCATCACCCGCTTTCCGACGTGCCAGGCCTTGGGTCTGTGCCAGGATTAGCCTGCAGGCTCCTAGGGCAGAGCCGGCGTCGCAACGTGCAGCCGCGAACAGCAGCAGCAGCTCCAGCGCCGGGGGCAGAGCCGTCAGCACCAGGATCCCAGGCGGGACCCAGCGCGGGGAGAGGATCCCGCTCGGTCTCTCGTCCGTTCCTGGGAACAGGCCGCAGTTTGTCACTTCCTGGTCTAAACGGCGGTGTGGAGCTGCCCTGTGTTGACAGCTGCTGTGCTCCACCCCAGAGGTGGCTGCATGTCGGTGCTGAGGGAAGCACGCATGTGACACTTTGCAACGTGCCCGGGCGTGAAGAGAAACGACTGCCCCACACACAGCCCGCTGGCGCCTCCTCACCCCCCCGACAGCCCGGCCCCAGCGCCAAACCTCAGTCATGTCACACGTCCACACGCCCTGGGGCAAGTCTGGGAATCCTGGGAGCGGCCCCAGCAGGGGCAGACCCTGCCGTGCACGACCCCCCTGCAATGCACTGGTCCGGGCTGCTTGGCTGCTGGGGAAGGGACTAACAGGGGCTTGTGCTTCCCAGGGTCAACCCCTGGCCCTGCTCCGTCTGTCTGTCTGCAGCCGGCGGTCCATGCACAGCCCACGGAGCTCGGTCTGCAGGAGCCACCCCCCGAGGGGACGGGGTTGGGTGATTTCACCTTCCCCTGGGCGCCTGTGGGAGCGCCCAGGCCTTGGGCTGGGACCCCTCTCCGCCCGGCGCTAGGCACTGCCCCTGTACCCAAAGGGGGGGGGCTGGAGGAGAGGGGGAGGGGCCGGCGCCCTGCACCAGCTCACCCCAGCTTCAAAGGGACCCGGAGCTTCCTTCCTCCCACGCAGCGTGGGGAGCCGACCCCAGCCTCGCGTCCGCGGGCAAATCCCCCTCCCAGAGAGCCGGACACGGCCGTGGGCCAGGAGCAGCTGGAAGATCCGGCTTGGAGGCCCATGAGGAGGGACAGGCCGGCAGCTTCCCCAAGCAGGCGGCTCGGACACTGGGCCCAGCTCTCCTCTCTGTGCTGGGGAGCGGGAGTGACTCCCCCGGGGTGGAATCGGGCCCCGCAGCAGCCCGGGCACAAGGGCCCTGATTTTGCTGTGGGCCCCTGCCGAGCCCCCGAATGCTCCGTCCCCGCTGGGCCCCGGCACCTCCCCACAGAGGCGACAGGCCCCTGGCTGGGGTAGCCGCTGTGTTCCCCTAACACAGCCCTGAGGATCTCCCTGCCCCGGTGCCCTCACCCCGCTGAGACCCCGCTCCCGGCCTCCCAGGGCGGCTGCTCTTCAGGGACCTGCCCCGCACCCCGTTCCTCCCTCAATCCACTCCGGGGCGGCACTTCCAGCCCCCACCAGTTGGGGGAGCAAACGGCTCCGAGCCGGTCCCCAGCCCCCGGCTACACACGCAGCATCCTGCTCTCCTGTGCTGCGCCCGCTCGCATTACACCGCCAGGGCGGTCCAGCGGGCCGCTCCGGGAGTTCCAGTCCCGCTCTGCCGCCGACACCCGGTGTGACCCAGTGTGCCTCAGTTTCCCCATCGACCTTCCTGTGGCCAGTGCGTTGAGACTGACGGAGGGACGTGCACTGCCCGGACCAGGGCCCCTACTCGCCTCGGCCCCTGGCTGCAGAGCCCGGCCCATGAGGAAAACCATCAGCACGACTGCACTGCACAAGCACCCGAAGGCCCCAGGCAGGATCGGGCCCTGGCTGTGCTGGGGGTGGCTTCGCGGTGAGCTGGGGGCAGTTCCCAGGCGAGCAGACATAACCCACTAGCTCTGACCAGGCGAGGGCACGAACCACCCGGCGCGGCTGCACAGCCGGGGTGCTGGTCGGGTACGTGCCCTGGGACACTCTCTGCACACGCCCGGCGGCGGGGAGAGCAATGCGGCTAGCATGGGTATGGCTCCTCGAGCCAGGAACCCCTCACCCTGCTCACAGCACGGCCGCACCCTATGGAGCCGAGCGTCCCTGGGCAGAGGGGCAGGGGGGCCGGGAAGCCGACCCCACAAGATGGGCTGGAGCTCGCTGGCGGGAGTGGAGAGACGGGCTCTGGGCAGCAGAACACACAGAACAATTGACGGCTGGGCACGTTCTCTGCACAGGAAACAGACGCCGGGTCCCCACGTCTCACAGGGGAGCAGGAAGGTGCCCCAGACAGGTAACCTCACGGGAAAACGGCCTCTCCCATTTCTGCACAGCTCTGCGAGTCACTCCTCAGGGGTTATGTCCCACACAGACCCATCTCTCCAGCCGCCCATCCACCCCCAACACTCTCCATCCATCCCGACACAGCCATCCACCCACGCACTCACCCACCCGTCTCCAGCCACACCCATCTATCTACAGTGCACAAGGAGTTGGATAGGACGCAGCAGGGTGCCCTCGTTGCCAAGAAGGCTAACAGCATTTTGGGTGGCATCAGTAGGAGCATTGCCAGCAGATCGAGGGATGTGATCATTCCCCTCTATTCGGCACTGGTGAGGCCACATCTGGAGTATTGCGTCCAGTTTTGGGCCCCCCACTACAGAAAGGATGTGAACAAATTGGAGAGAGTCCAGCGGAGGGCAACGGAAATGATTAGGGGGCTGGAGCACATGACTTATGAGGAGAGGCTGAGGGAACTGGGATTGTTTAGTCTGCAGAAGAGAAGAATGAGGGGGGATTTGATAGCTGCTTTCAACTACCTGAAGGGGGGTTCCAAAGAGGATGGAGCTCGGCTGTTCTCAGTGGTACCAGATGACAGAACAAGAAGCAATGGTCTCAAGTTGCAGTGGGGGAGGTCCAGGTTGGATATTAGGAAACACTATGTCACTAGGAGGGTGGTGAAGCACTGGAATGGGTTACCTAGGGAGGTGGTGGAATCTCCTTCCTTAGAGGTTTTTAAGATCAGGTTTGACAAAGCCCTGGCTGGGATGATTTAGTTGGGGGCTGGTCCTGCTTTGAGCAGGGGGTTGGCCTAGATGCCTCCTGAGGTCCCTGCTGTTCTACGGTTCTAGGATCTATCTGATGACTTCATTCACACACTAGCAGACAGAGGCTCTCGGACACTCCCTGGCAGCTGGCTTTGCCTTTCAGTTGTGCCTTTTCCAACACTCCTGGTGCTTTCCATCCTCGCTTCCAAACCGATCCTTGTGCAGATCACACACCCACCCACCCACCCAGCGGTTTGCCTGGGAACGCTCCGCTCGCCCAGCCAGCATTCCATGGGGTGGGGTGATGGCGCTGGGCCGTGGACAGGGCCTTCCCAGCCCCGACTTCCATCGCGGCCAGCAGCCGCCCTGGGCCGGATTTCTGCCTCGTGAAAGCCGCGCTCCGGGCGTGGGACTGAAGTGGCTCCAGGCGCCTGGCCATGAATCCCCAGCTCTGGGGTTATTTTAGCTGAAGGAAAACAGGTTCCTCGAGCATGCGCCCTGCAGCAAGCCGGCAGCAGCAGGCTCCAGAAAACGCCGCTCGGCCTGTTTTAATAAGCAGGGCTGGGTTCAAAGACCCACTGTCGGATAACTGAGAGCTGTGATAATGAAAACACGGGTCTCTTCTATTTCCCCAGCACCTTTCATCCGAGCGGACCCCAAAGCCCTTCCTGAGCGACAGGCAGCAAACCTCAGTCCCTCCGATCCCAGCCCATCTGCAAACCCAGCTCACCCTCCTGCAGTAGGAGGAGTTTGTATTTTGTATAGCTTAGAATGAAGGCTAAAGGATAATCATGTCATAGGTATTCAACGTATTGCTGTACGGTAGGGTTGGATTGGATTCTGCCGGCCCCCCTGACTGGAGAGCAGGAAGGAATGGCCCTGGGTAGGGTTACCATACGTCCGGTTTTTCCCGGACATGTCCGGCTTTTCGGCAATCAAACCCCCGTCCAGGGGGAATTGCCAAAAAGCCAAACATGTCCGGGAAAATGCCGGCCGGGCACTTCCCCTCCCGCGGCGGCTCTGCTCCTCCCCTGACTCTTCGGCTCTGTTTAAGAGCCGAGCTGCCCGAGCGCTATGGGCTTCAGGCATCCCCCTTGCCTCCGGACCCTGCGCCCCCAGCCGGGCACTTCCCCTCCCGGGGCGGCTCTGCTCCTCCCCTGACTCTTCGGCTCTGTTTAAGAGCCGAGCTGCCCGAGCGCTATGGGCTTCAGGCATCCCCCTT